AAAAAAATCAAATTTATCTGCTAAACACCATCTAAAAATTGAGTTTAAATGTATAATTATTTTTAAATAAGTATAAATAGGAGAACTGAATCAATTCACTACCCACCAATTAAATGAGTTTAATTGAGTATTCATTTAAACCCATTCAAAGTTCATAGCATACCAAAGTCCACTTATTAATGGATGGCTTTGGGTGGGTCAATATAATTGAGTTGTAGTTGACACCTCTAATCTGCACTATAAAAATTGACGATAATTTTTTCTTCCCTACAACCAGAAACCTGAACTTTGGACATGCCACAATGTATATTCTAGTTTGAAGTTATGTATACTAAATTGAAATGTTATAACACACAATGTTGGTAGATAAGATAATCACTAACCACTTAATTTTAAAATCATGTATATTTAGTTCAAATGACAGGTGTGCCAGATGAGAATTTTATTTTGAAACTATAGATATTTGCTTGTTCTTTCTTTTCATACACGAATCAACTATCATTAAAGAATTTTGTTAGTTACGATAAACCATATATTTCATTTTTGTACATTTCATGGTATAGTTTTCAGTTTTGACATTACTACGTGCCTAGTTCAAGTTGACATATAAGTTTTGATTAATGTTTAAGAGGAAGAAAGATGGAAAAGTTTGAAAAACTTAAAAACGTGGATAGTAGATTCATGGTATAATTTTCAGATCCTAAATGTCAGGTGCAAAATGGCACGATTGGAGTAATTTGTCACCTTTTTTCTACTTTTTGCATCCTCTCTTCTTCTTCATATATATACACACTTCCTACCCATCTTTTGCATGTAAACACCAAAGTTTCGGTGTTATTGATATAAAGTTCTGTAGCTCTTGGTATAAAACCCTTCTTTTTCATGTAAACTCCAAAGTTTTGCATGTAAACACCAAAGTTTCGGTGTTATTGATATAAAGTTCTGTAGCTCTTGGTATAAAACCCTTCTTTTTCATGTAAACTCCAAAGTTGCAGTGCTCTTGATATAAAGTTATGTTTTCTTGAAGAAGTTCTGTTGCTCTTGACATTAGAAGTCCCTTACAAGACCGACTTTCTTGTTTCAAGAAGTCCTATAAAATGACTATGAACAATGCCCGTGGCCTTGGCATTTGCGGTAGCTGCTGTACTTTTTGCATTCTTGTACAATGTATAAGTGAAACTAGATGGTAACTCTTTATTCTGGAAATTGGAAGTTCTTCCCTTTCAAATAAAGTCGAGTGCACCTCTGTGTCAATAATTTCAGATCTCCTTACCACTTACCTGTGTATAATCATAGTTTTTTTCATTTTTTTCCCAATATCTGCACTTATGACTTCAATTACATTAAACATGACATAGATACATCAATCTAAAAATTAACTAATATAACAAATTTAAAGAATAATAAACTCGATCATAATAGACTGATACAATAAAAACTGTTTTAAGCCTAAGAAAAATTTAAATCTGACTTCCAGATTTTTTGGCTTTTGAATTCTACCAAAAATCTCTAATCTCAGACACCGACAAAAGACAAAAAATGAAAAAAAAAAAACACTCTCACAAGGATATCTTAGGAGAGAATAAAACTCCTATTAATAAAATTTAGGGAAAAAGAATCTCTCAATAGGAAATCTTGGGAGAGAATTTATTCAAACAAAAAAATAAAATTAGGAAAATGACCCTCTAATAGTGAAATACCAGATTATGTGTGAAGTGGTGAATTCTGGTTTCTTGAGCTGGTTGAGCGGCTAGGGTGTTCTCCCGCTGTAGGTCACGGCTTTATGGAAATCACCTGTTCAAGTCATGGAGACGGGGTTGTGTCTCCCAATCCTCCTCCGACGATCTAGTCAGTTGAAATAAGGAGGGGAACGAATGGAGTTCTTTAGAGAGTGATTCTTACAGAATATGTTGTGTGTCCATCTGAGTGAGAGATTCTGATATTTATATGGGACAACTTGAAGGGAAGGATAGTGGGATCCAAGTTCCTAGAATCCAACAGACTAAGCGTATCAGTCTGATTTGACAGATCTGCGCAAGGGACAAGTCTCATCAGATGTCCTGTTCTTCTGCGGGTGTTAGGGTCTTAGACTGGATCTCGGAGGTCACGTCAGGAGCAGTGCCATTGAGGACTATGGCTGAGGAGGTCACTTCGGTCATCCGTTGGCAGGGTGCATCTAAGGTGACCAAAACGGATGGGGATATCCCACGGGATGAGGGGGTCATCTCGGCCCATTATCAAAAACTACTGTGAGACTGTCCCCTGCCTAGCCGGGATGACCACCCTCAATGTGCAATCTCCCACGAGGGAGTCAACGAGATTTTGGTTAAAAGAATTTTAGAGAGAAGGAAGAGAGAATGAGGTCTAGAGAGTAGGAAGAGAAAATTGATAAATCAATTATTAATGTATATAATCTGACTAATTTTTTTTGGAAGGGACAGTTAATCGTGGGTAGTTATTTTTGCGTGTAATAGTATGCAATCGTTATAGGTGTGAAGAATGACAGGAGGGAGAAGAAGTGCTTATTCCTTTTGACACGTCTCCTGCCACCATTATAATACTTTTGGTTTCGGATTAATCGTACTCATACGCTTGCTGATTGTGTAACAAATGCACAAATTTGAAGTATAAATTTCAATTAAGATTGATTGCGATGCATTCTGTCCTTCCACTGGCCTACTTATGCAAAAGTGCAAGAAAAAGGCAATCATTTAGTTTTTATTTTTCTAAATAAGTTAGGCTATAATGTTGGGCTTTGGAAATAAGCTTCAGGGTTAATTACATTTTGCCCCTTGAACTTGATCCATCGTAACACTTTGCCCTTCTAAATTCTAAGTGTGTGTGTGTGTTGTGTGTGTGTGTGTGTATATATATATACTTACTTACTTTATCCCTTGTAATTAACTTGTTGATGGAGTTAAAATAGAGTTATGTTTTGTATGACCAAAATATCCTTAACAAATTATTGAACACATATAATAATTGTAACATAATAAATAACTATTTTTCAATAGTAACTAAATTCATTTAAACACAATCACACCATGCAAAATTAGAAGATCTGTGAAAAAAGAAGTCTAAATAGTTCAATGTGTTGATCGCAATGCTCAGAGCAGTACTTACTTCAGATGAAATGAAATAAAATTTTGCATTTGGAATAAATATTATTTGATTTTTTTTTCTATTGTAGTATTTTTTTGAATGTGTTTCATGCGAGATAGAAACATATTAAAAGAAAAAAATAATGAAAAATGAATTTAGAGAGTCTCAAATATTTCTCAAAATAATGTAAAATCCAAACCAAACAAAAAGCAACGTACGATTATGGCCTAAAACACCAATTCACATCCTAATGACTCGGAAGAATCTCATGAGAGATACAAGGTAAGCAATAAATTATCAAAACCAATCCATTTATAGTCTAAAGGAACAAAGGGAAACGATAAAAAACTAATTTAGAAGTTTTGAAAATTTTTAAATTCTTTTTTATTCTACAACACAAATTTTCAATTCTTCGGTATTTCACCATCTTTTATTTTTTTAAAATTTTTTATATCATGTAAATTCCTTTTTTTTTAATAAGATGTTTCATATTCTAACTAAAAGTATAGCATTATTCTACAACCATTATGTATGGGTATGACTGTTATTTTTTCAAAATTTTAGATTAAAAAAATTCATCATTCACGTTTGACTAGTCCCATGAAGGGAGCAAAATGTATGCATTTGAAGTTCAAGTGAGCAAGGTTTACGAAGGATCAATTTTAGGGGGACAAACTATAATTACCCTAACTTTAGCGTTTGATATGAGCACTTGATTTACAACGACATTATTCTTTGACTTGATTGTCAAACCTACTTCCACCTTGGCCCCAAGGCCCCCAACCTATGTTTTCAGAACCGGACCGGATAGCGACTCGGCCAAGGTCAGGGGTCAGGGGTCAATGGGTTCGACCGGGGGTCGATAGGGGTCGAACCAGATGACGTCATAAATAAAAATTATTTAAAAATTAAAATATTATATTTATAATATCTAATAATATATTGATATTAAAAAAGGTATATTCATATATATTTGATGTTTCAAATATATTTAACAAGAAAATATAAAGAAATTAGAACAATTAAGTAGCAATTTATATTATTTAATAAATATTAACAAGTTTAGAATTAAAATTATGAGTTTAATTGAAAAATAACATCAAATTTTAGGACAATATTTATAAAGTATCAAATATTTGAGGTATATCGATAAGTTTTAACAATTTAGGGGGTCAACACATAATATTATAAAGTTTGAATTTTTTTTTAAAAAAATTACTGTTGAACCGGAAAAACCGGTTTTTTTCCGGTCAAACCCGATTTTTGACCGGCTTTGACCGGGTTTTAAATTTCCGGTTTTTTAATAAGACTCGGACCGGCTACCTGGCCGGTTCCCGGTCCGACCGGCCGGTCCGGTCCGAGTTTCAAAACAGAGCCCCCAACCTCATGCAAGCCTAACATGGGGTCATAACGAATTGTTTCAAAAGTGAAAAATTACTTCCGAAATTGAGCTTTTTATCCCACATCAAAAGATCGTGGGGTCTTTACTCTGAGTTTAAGGTCCACAAGGACTTTGTTCTATCACCAATTGGCTGAACAATGATTCTTTGGAGGTCCCCCTTAGATTGTTTTAGGGTCAGTTTCTCGATTAACTCCTGTGTTTGTCTAAATTAGTTAGGTGTGTGGGTCTAAATTAACTCCTGGGGTTAGGGCTTCCTATCCCACATCAAAAGATCGTGGGGTCTTTACTCTAGATTTAAGGTCTACATGGCCCTATTTTGTCACCAATTGGCTGAACAGTAATTCTTTGTGGATCCCCCTTAGATTGATTTCTCGATTAACTCCTGCGTTTGTCTAAATTAGTTGGGTGTGTGTGTTTTTTCCGTTTCCGAAAAAAGAAAAAACTTCCGAAATTGAAAAAGGAAAATTGCCTTTCCAAAATTGAGCTGAAGAAAAACTGGAGAAAGGTAGTACAGGATTAACATCTTATTGATATTTGATACCCACTATTTATTCTGAGAAAAGCAGAAGAACAATTGATTGCAATATTACAACAGTATACCATAGTTAATTTCATCCAAGCTAGTATGCCACTCTACGCCTTAAAGCTGTAATGCTTAAACTTATTTTCCCAAGTATACCAATGTTTCTGAACAAATTTTACGATCCATCAAGTTCCAACATTGAAATGAGCCACCGGCAAACTTCATCTGTTTCTTCAGGGATAGTATAGTGACCAAGCCTGCATGCCAGAAAAGCCTACAGTTTTATTATGTCATATGAAACTGGCCAATCTTTATTTGCTCAAGAAACCATTATATCAAGTACCCGTCATATTTTCTGAATGTGAGGTTCTGAAAGCCGGATGAACTAAGGGTTCGTGCAGATTTCTCTCCATGTGCATATGCCACCACATCATCACCTGCAACAACAAATCTGTCGTTTATTTGCAGTATAGAAATATATGTCTAATCTGTAATAATTGCAGAATAGATATTGCATTTAGTCCAGTGGGCTAACAGCATTTAGGGTGTGAGTTGGTCGTTTTTGACGGTACGTAATCATGTACAGAATGGAGAACAAAGTGATCAAGAGAGATATTCCAGGAAATGAAAATTGTTTGCCTAGAGAAGTATGCCAAACTTGCATCCATGGTGGACAGCTTTCAACTAGGGACATTTACCTCCTAATCAAAGAGAGGAGTATTACCTGGCCAAGACATTAATTCATCTGGCCCTTTCAAATTGTTCCATACGATGTCTAAGCACTAAAACAGGTCATTGCACCCTCTGTCTAATAACTGATACAGAAACCAGCATTATTATCTTCGTACTTCAATCAAGGTCACAGTCAACCTTTGTGTTTTATTTTAATTTTTCACTCAACCTATTGAGATGAGGAAGTGAATGATAAGAAGAGCAATAGAGTCATCGACCGAAAAATTTACTTGAGATATTCTCCAATTGCTTGTCTAAGTAAAAACCTTCAATTTTTGCATTCTAGAAGGTATACTAAATGCAACAACTTCCTACCTGGTAACTTTAGTCATGCTCGTTCCCAGAGATACTACTTGTCCAGCTATTACGGGTTCAAAGCTACCCTAAATGACACCCCAAAAAAAAAAAAAAACTTGTTCTAGACTAATATAATTGATGGTTCTAGACTAACTTGTTCTAGAGCAAGAAATGATGCTCTTAATGAACTTGAGGAACCAGATAAATAAGTACGTGCTTAACAAAATGGTTGGAACAGATCAATACTAAATCATGATTAGAAACCATCAATGATAAGAAAGGTCCAAGAAGATACGTGAATGAGCATGATTGCCTCAAACAGAATAATTATACCATATCCTCCAGGCAAAACTGATTTGTGGAGTGAGTTGAAGGTCAAGTTATCATGCAATTACTAAAGCAATTACCCCCAGAGACCCCAAAAGAACAACTCCGAACTCAACCTTGAATGAAAAAGAAAAAAATCATCATCAGGTCAAGTGAGGAATGGGAGTCTGAATCTGGAAGTGAATGTCTATTTTTCCTGGGACACTGGGTGAAACCATACTGTGCAATGCTTAGATTAAGCCTGCAGGGTCATGCAGAACCATTGGCCCTTATATTTTTAAGTATTCTTAATTAAGACGATGAGATTAAGGGTTGTTCTAACAGTTTCCTTCTCTGCTGCACTAATTCACCATTAGCATGGGTTACCTTATATGTAACAAAATCATAATCAAATACTGGTTCCTTCCCAAAACCATAAAATAAGATATGAAGGCATTTTCCACAATAGCAATCAAAAAGACAGCTTCTAGTTCAGCTTCTAGTCCACCATTGTTGGGCTTCTATGGTGGAGCAAGTTTAATATTGGACGCTACGTGCTTTGCCATTTCAGTTCACATCTTGTGAAGGGGTGTATAGAATTAAAAATTTGTCCGGATAACTGCTTTGCTATTTTGGTTGTCACTTAGATCTCTTGCCAGTCTGATGCAAAAATTATCATACTAGACATGATGAATGAAATTTATAGGTACAGGTTATGGAGGATTATGGGAGAAATCAGGGGGTTTACACACCATCAAACAAGTATTGTGAGACGCGACAACAGAATCTTGAAAATTGTAGAGCATGCCTTGGGATTGACCTTGTTGGTTGAGAATATTCTCACCCATGGTATTCTATAGCTGGTTTTACTAACCTCTTTCGTAATGCTGCTTGAATACACTACTGAAAGCAATCGGATAAACAAAAGTTGTGCTTGTATTTTTCATACTCTATTGAGCGAATATTTCCTGTATGATTGGCCCCAAGCCCTATTATATTACGAGACTAGCAGTGCACAAACAATCTGGAAAGGTATAATTCTAAGCACAAACGGTAAAACTTTTTCCCTCTAACCCATATAGCTCCCAATTTCCAAGTTGTAATATTATTTGCCTATCTTTTTTCCCTAGTGCTGTATTAGGTGTTATCTATTGATCTCATCAATCATCAATGGAAAGATATTTTAGTTAAAACCACTTAGGGAAGAAAATGTCAACTCATCTTGATGATATGATTTTACTTCACATAAGCTCATGTACTGTGGTAATCTCTTCACTGTTTCACTTCTGTGTATCCTAAATATCTTTAAGATGAACAAAGTCTACAGATTTGAATGTACTGAAGTTCATATAGGTAACTGTTTCAAAATCTTAGATTCATCAATCAGGTAATGAGCACAATTCACATAAACAATCAGAAAAAGCACTGGCCTATGGATTTAATCTTGTATTTTGCATGGGGGGCAAGAACCATCAGGCTTAATGCAAGTGGTACACTTAATTCTGAAATTATGAATATACATCAATAACTATCACCTGGAAGGTTTTGTTAGGATGCAACTTTGACTTGTATAGCATTATGAGCAAATATCAACATTGAAATTGAATAAAATCCATCATGACATGGAACTTAGAAATCTATAAATACCAGAGCCATGACAGAGCAAAATAGGCAATGAAGCTGCACGCCTCACAGCTGTGACTGATCCTTCTATCCGGTTCCTCAGCATCCTGATACACAACAGTATGAAATGAAAAATGGACATTGCCCTCATTTTTTATATTGTGTCAAAAGGTTTTCAAAGAATTCAAGCCATACCCTGAACATGGAAGCCAGCCACTAAGACCAACAACTGAGTTGAGGTTGACCTGGTACAAGTTTCCATTTAGATATTGTCCTAGAGCATGACATGTAGCAGAGTAGAGAGCTGTTGCAGCACCCATACTAAAACCCCCAATACCAAGTTTAACTGTAGAAGGATAAAACAATTATTGAATTCATGGAGCAATTGTATCATATTCTCCAGGGAACCAGTTGTCAATGTACTTAAAAATCGGAAAAGGCTGAAGGCACGATGGTGATCTGCGACTTGCTTAAAGCAATAATGGAGGTTAAGATGACTTGTATTACAATTAGTGATGGTACAGATAGGCCTAGTTGAATTACATAACTTAAACCATATGATATAGTTCAAGTATGACCATAGTGCATCTGATAAACCATAGTTTTTCCATATAACTGTCAAAAAAAACAAATTCACATCAAGCACACAACTTATGCAAAGGCTCTTCAAAGGTTTGCAGACAAACTTAGGCTGATGCCTGAGCCAGACCATCAACCTTTGCACTCCTTTTTAGCCTTCACAGTAAACCGCCACCTCCCCCCCCCCCCCCCAACTCAAAATAAAAGGAAGAACTAAAAAATTCTAAGAAAATTTTCTTATAAAAAATCATGCCTCTAAAAAGAGGGAAGTATAAACCAAAGAAAATAAGTGAGAAAACAAAACCCTAATACCAAAAGAAATTTTTTTCTTTTCTTGTTGGCTACAGAAAATAAATATGTTAGTTAACACCATTTTTTAAATGTGATATATATTCTCAACTTCTCTTCCTACAAAAAAATCAATGGACTTCCAAGGATTGAGATTGTAACACGTCAACATTATCTTCTCACAATTTTCTGGATAAAAAATTGAAAAAAAAAAAACAATTGAAGGTTTTTGGTCGGATGGTTAGATGCTGTAGACATTTATATAGCAAGTCTGCATTAGTTTTTGTTATTGCTTGAATACGAAGTAAATTCATTTATTTGGCATAAATAAGCTATAAATGTTCAGAAGATAACATACTATCAGCAGGTTCAGTTGACAAGAGATTCGCAACATGTGCAGCAGATGCATCTAAACCCTCCAAATCATAAGATGTATCTTCTGCAAAATCTCCTACATCAAACCCTGATACAAAACAAACAAGTATTTGTGCTATAGCATCCTTAAGGAGTTTCAGAAGAAATTGAATGAGGTAATAGAAGAGTAGCTAGTGAAGAAGAGGGTAGCAAAACTTCCATATTGAGTGAAGTACAGAAGATATTTGGAAGCTTGAATCAGTATAAAAATTAATTCTCACAAGCATAAAACCCTAAAATGCAAGTTCAGTAAAAATGAATCTCACAAGCAGTGCATGGAAAACCACCAAGTGCTGCAACTGGACGCGTAGGAGCAGTTGGGCATATCCATTTTATCTGCATTACATAGATATCTCATGAGATATGCTAACTGAACAAACCAAGTCATTGAATGAATAGGATTACACAAACAAGCATCTATTTGATGCTTTGCAGCATGCTACTCATGTATGCCTGCTGAAGCTAATAAATGCCAATGTTTCAGAAACTCTTATTACAAGCCCTTACGTGCTGCTCATGCATGTCTGCAGAAGCTATAGGATATCAATTTTAACAAAATTCTAAAGTAACCCTTCCATGTTGCTCATGCATGCATTCAGAAGCTACGAAATGTCAAAGTTCAAATATCGTTAATAAAAAGCCTTACATTGGGTAGGGGAAGACTTTCAAGAAGCTGTGACCAGCTGAAAAACAAGACAAATTGATCACAATTAACATCTCTATCCAACTTCCAAACAGCATTTTAGATGAGGAAAGGCATCCTTATAAAGGACAACTGAAACAATAGTTGTCAAAATTTAATAACTGAAAACCTATATTATAATCATTTAAGAAGCAACCACCTGAATCAGGTTTACTTTTATATAGCTTAGGGACCACTCACCACACTCGATTTTCAGAAGAGGCTTAAGCACAATGGTACAAAAATAAAATGTAATTGGCATGAAATGAAGGTATCAGTGAGGCCTATTCTTAAATTATGGAAAAGAACAAGGAAGAAATTTTTTTTGTATATCCCTAGTACAACTAACTGAAAAATGATTGCACAATCAGGTCTAGTGGATTCAAAGGACAAACACAAGGAAGTGAAACAGTGGTCCCCTGACCTATACATGGTTTATGGAGCTCCAGACTCAAGGAAACCCCAACTCCCAGATTCAGGTCAAGGAACAGAGCAAAATGACAAGATAGCATGTTTTCTCCTGGTGCTGGGTGGTACATCTCTCCCTTCAACCAATCATATTGCAAATCTTTAGAACTGCCTAGCACTCAAGAACTGGAATTAACACTAATACTTCAGCAGATTGATTTATTTTACTCTTCTTTGGATGCTTACTAACAAAGTAAACTACAACTTTAAAAAAAAAAAAGAAAGAAATAAAAAATACACCAGAGAACAGGACAAAAGACCACATCTCAGCAAGTAGCTAACTGTCGAAGGTCCACAATCTGATCTAAGAAAGTTTGATTATACACATGGACAGATGCACAATAATGCTAAAATCATTGACACGCTTTTTGGGGCACAATCATTTTGAGCTTAATTATTCAATCTCTGCTGGAAAAACGTAATAATACCTCGCCCCCTTATCGCCAAGGCCATGCAGCCAAACTATAGTTGCTTGATGTTTCCCTCTGGGCCGAACAACATGAGTCCTTCCAAATTCAAATGTCCGCCCTGTTGTTTGGCTACCTAAAAAATGGCAAGTAAGAAATTTCCATAGGCATCTTAAGACGGACAAATTACGTTGGCAAAACAACAAGGACTAAAATTAATTTCCATTGATTTTAAAGCATTTTCATTTTAAGCAATCCAGAAGGCAAAAAGGGCCTAACCAGAATCTATGCAGGAGCCACTGAAGCTCATCTTGAAGTTGTACAAAACCCCACAAGGTAAAGCTAGCTACTGCAACTATAAATACAAGAAGCACCTGCAATGAGCAGAAAATCAAGTCATGGCCACCTCTATTTATAACCATGCATTGTCTGCAAATGTGAATATGGAACATGATTCCTTTTTGGCATTAGATTTTTCCTAGCATGCACCAATTTCCACATTACCTAAAACAAGCCAAAGCCAACTAGAAAGGCAATGGAATCTCAGAAAAGGATGCATAAAAGAAAAGAAAAATATAAAAGCGGTCTTTTCCGAGTAAAGAATCCACAGAAATCAAAGGCACACCAATGCCAATATAATATCAAACACTGGTTATGAATGCAGCAGGGATGGGAATATATGCTCGTGGAAACGGAACAAAGAAAGGAAGAAAGAAAACAAAGCACTTCAACTATAACAACTGAAGAATAACTTGAACGGATGAAAAAGGAGCAACCAAAAAAAGAGAGAGACAGAGAAAAAAAAAAGTCTCATTCTACATATGAATAAAGAATGTATGAACACCTCAAAAAGGCCCAAGAAAATTTTCTCTTTCCATTCTTTTACGGAATTGGTGGAAACCCATTAAAACAATGGTCTAGAAGTTCAAGATATCATATCGAATCAAACAAGAATAATCATGTGTACAATGAAATATGAGCTTGAAAATTCTCAAAAGATCTCAGGAAAATGGAAATAATACCAAATGCTCCTACCGTTGTTTTTACAGCTAAGAGTCGCAAGTGGGGTTTTAGCTTTAAAGCACCAACCTGGAGCTGGGGTACAAAAGAGTCGGACAAATCTAAAAGTAAATTAGCTTTTCATTTCACTTGCTTCTCTGCCGCTATTTATGCAAGCATAGTTCCTTTAGTTTTCTTGCCTTCCCACTGTTTTGTCTGCCTCTTTATCATCAAACGTTTTTCAAACACTGCTCGTTCGTTTGGATTCACTATTTTTTCAAAAATAAATTTTTTATATATAATATTACAATAATACATAATAGTTTAAAAAATATCTTATCCACACAATACCTCAAATATTTTTAAAAAATTTTATAGTAAAAGTTTTTATATACACTGTTACAGTAAAATTTTTTAAAATACGCATTCAAAAACAGTTAATCCAAACAGAGTCCGGGCCTCTCTGAAAATGACCGTACAAAATAACAAGCAGAAGTAAAGAATTTTTGCATTTGTACAAACACACTGAATTGGTATGAAGCGAAGCTAATGTTCAAACATTGCTGCAATTAGTTTACCTTTGGTACAGATTCTTGAAAGTATGGTGCTAAAGCAAAATCGAAAGAGTAACAACAGGAAAGGTTCGGCGCACATTAACTGTTTAGGTAATGAATCATATATTTCAAATAAAATAAGACAGTTTTGACTAACCAAATGCATTTGGGACCATACAATTAATTCCCTTTGATTTAAGAATCATTATTAATCTGCAGCCATTGCCATTTCAATATTGCATGGCAATTGTTTGACAAACGAAAAGTGACACTTCAATGTAGGGATGAATTCGCAGCAGGTGTCGTTTTAATGTGCTACCAAAAGGAAAGAGCAATGATAAGGAATTTTGACTCTGTGTGTGTCTTGACATCAAAGAATCAATTATTCCAATTCTCGTGCTTCACAACTCAAAAGCAGCAGTAATTTTTAGCATCATTAAATTCGTGGATATTCCCAGTTCTGTAAATCATTTTTTGTTTTCGTGACTAAGATGCTCCGCTCTTCAAAGGAGCCAGTTATCATTGACGTAAAGTTAAGCTCTTCTCCTCTCCAGGAGGTCATTCATGGACCCTTTCTGTTTTTTGGGCTCGTTTAAATATTTGGGCCGAAGTCTAGATTTGTTTTGTCAGCGGGTAGATTAGTTTTTGCCTGAATTTGTTAGTAAGACTGACAGATGAATCAAACTATATATTCGATATTCAGATCGAACTCGATTTGGTAAGAAATCGTTCGAATTTGATTCGCCAACTAATCAAACCAAACTTAAACAACATTTTATGTTTGATAAACTCGTAAACTCACCTCGAACTTGCTTCAATTAGTATAAAATTGGATTTTATACGTAAGACATTCAAACTACTAGAGCTTGATTTCGATTTTGATTCAACTAATAAACAAGTCAAAATTAAATAAAATTTTATATTTGTTAAGATACTCGAACAAGTTTGAACGCTAAGATGTTACACATAGTCTTCTTGCAATATTAAAATTTGTATTGTGTGATGGAGAGAAGCAGTAGTCATGCAAAGATTCCGATCAGACTTGGCAGCATGGGGCCTAAATGATCGTAGATAAATATATTGTTGTTTACATGAAAATTGTGACGGATGTCTTTATTGGAATCAAGGACAAGAGAAGATAACTTAATTTTTTTTTTTTTTAAATTTAGTGGCGCAAAACGGGAATTTTTTTTTTTTTTTTTTTATAGAATTCAACGACTTTGAAATGTGAATTTGTACATTTTTGAGTCAAGATTCGAGATCAATTGTAATGGACTCTTTCGTATAATACACTAATAAATAAGCTCAAATAGTACACCTCTTTATTAGTGCTAAGACCCGGCAAAACTGAGACTGGTCTACAGATGTACCCACTTTAAGTTTATTTTAGCTATTTCTTAGTTGAAAATTTTTATGAAAACTACCATAGCACAATGTGATTCAGTATATATTAAAATAATAAAGGAAAACAAATGCCCGACAAGTCAAATTGGTCATCACTTTTTTTTTTTTTCCTTGTCAATTAACAGCATCTATGCTATCCTACTTTATCGAAGAGGAGGAGACCAACTGAGTTGTATAAGCGATTAAAAGGAAGATAGACCCATCTAAACTAAAGGGATATTTTGATACTTTTTTTTATTTGTTTATTTTTTTTTTTAATTATAGGATGTAAGGTTTGAACTCCTGCCGTGCAGGTCAAAGAAGGATTTTAAATCGCTTTTGGAGGCTAATTTGCAAGTTATCATTACGTTTAGAGAGTAGAGACGGTGAAGTCTTTAATTCTTTATTCGAGGATCATTTGAAGTTTTAGTCTTGCATAAGTTATTTTCCTTAGCCTAATCTCTAGTTTTAGTTTCACACACATAATAGTTTTCTTTTGATTAGGATTGGTAAACTTTTGACACGTTCGATGTTGTAATTAAGTTTATGGAGTCATGCTTTTGGGGCCAAACGACGTCTCTCATTAAAAGTTAGAACTTAGAAGGATAACAGACCAGTTAGATTGGAACTGAAAATTGACATCATAATTAGGGATATACAACGTTTTGTCTACCATAAGCCAGTGTCAAGATCAACTTTCATATCGTGTCTTAAACAACACATTTGAGAATTTACAGATAAGTTTTCAAGCCAGAAAGGATGTGTATGTTGAGAAATCAAGTGAATAACTATATTTATTATTTTGTTGTTGAAAGGAAAAAGTTTAGTTGGTGGGAAAGATTAGTTGTAGGGGTGGCAATCAGGTCAGAAACGGATTGACGGGCCGGGTTGAGACTCATGTACAACAGACAACTCATTGACCCGAACATAACCCGTCAACCCGCAACGGATCAAGATACCTGATCTAAATCCAAAATTTTCAAGTTGGCGGGTCACCCGAATGACCCGAAACATAATTTCAATTTACTAATCTACCACTATAGTTTTTAACAAAATTAATTTTGCACAAAGCTAACTACATAATCAAGTAATAAAAATCTTGATAAAACAATCCCAAATCAAATCTGAAATAAATTAAAATACCGTGAAAGTGTTTTATCCCAAACCAAATTTAAAATAAATTAAGACACTATAAAAGTAGAAAATAATGTAATGCATCATTTGTCCAAACATAATAATTCCAACTTCACACAAGTTAAACAAATTCATTTAGGTTTAAGTGGTTAATGCCTTTGGAAAAAAAAAAAGAATAACTTAGTTTAGTTAGATAAAATATTTTTATATTTATTGAATTATTTTTAATTCCTAAATGGGTTATCAGGTCAACCCTTGGGTGACCTAAATTCGATCTATTTTCTTTTCAGATTCATCGGATTCGACCCGATTTTGATCCTAACCCGCGAAGTCTCAACTTGAACCCATTAATTTCGTATTAAATTCACATCGTATTTTCAGATCCTGTCAAAACTGTCACCCCTAATTATTATTAAGTTCAACATAATGTCATACTGTATTTTTTTCAAATCTTTTGTTTTCCTTGGGTTTTTGGACAAAGATTGTGCTGTTAATTTAAAAGGACATCAATGACCAAATAAATTATTTGACCAAATAAATTATTTTATGGTGTAGATAGGGTTTTAATGTAATTTGAACCTCATAATTTTAAATTGGGTGGAGCTAAATCCACATTCCTCTAGTCTAAATCTACACCTTTTACACAAAAATATCTATAAAGCCCATACTATTTATCAAGATTTCATAGGAATTTTTCAATACCAAAGCTAAACTTTTGTGGTGGGAAAAGATGGCGCCAATTAAGTTTATTTTTCCCTCCACTCAATTGCATCCTTTCATCATCTCTTTTTCCTTACCTTTTGATATTCACGAACTATAGCAGCAATTATCATCAGGTGGAGAACTCCAAACTTTTAGCTCCATGTGAGTATGAAATCATTGTTGATCGACAAATTTCTGCAAGTGCACAAGGTCAATCATAGTAATAAACCACCTAGAGTATTCTAGGGGTCGAACCCATAGGGACAAGTTAATTATTTACTTTAATTATTCTAAAATAACTAAATTTAAATTCAAGGAGTGGTATTTTCTAACTAAACAATAAAATAATAATCAATTGAAATAAAGTAATGGTGAGAAAATAATAGACACGAGTCTAGAGTTTCAGGTTTTAATCCAGAATTTAAGTCAATTATCTAGTCAATTGCTCAATAAACCATGAACACATCACACATTTGTATTTTAGATCATCTCTCGATACATCTAAAGTGTGTCTAATTAAATCCTACGTCTCTTTCGAAGTCACAAATATTCAATTAAACGCTTTAAGAACCTTGGTGATAAAATGCATCATACAAATTCTAATCTACTCTTGTAATTAGGCTAAGTATGTTTATCTATCTAGTATACGGTTGTATATCCCTTCACAATTCAATATAAACCCTAAGAGTATACCTATGATGGCCAATCACAAACATGTAATTAAATCAAGATAAATAAATCATAGCAAAATATAAGAATCAAATTTCTTCATAAAAACGCTAACCCTGGAAACAATTTAGTTCAACATGATTTGAAAATTGTAACCACGAATTCAAAGAGTTGCTACAAAGCTAAGAAAAAGAGTAAGAAACCTTCTTAGTTGCTTGCTCCAATCTTCTTCTTGTGCACTCCTTGATTCACTTCCGTTTGATCTTGATCTCTCAATAATAAACTATGAAAAGTTGTTAAAACTAACCTAAACTAATGTTTTCCACCCTAAAAAGAAAATGACCTAAAGAACCCCTACTTATAGTTTCTTGAAAATATATTCTAAACAGGGTAGAAATTAGCTTTATTGGACTCGAAAAATTACATTTCTACACATTTTTTCGATGAAGACCAGTCTAATGTTTGGCGTTGATCATTGGGCCAAGATCAAAACACAAAAGAATCTTGAGATGTCCGGTGTGAAGTCTTTTGTGATGTTCAATGCTGGTCATGGATATGATCCGTTCGAGGATCACATTTGAAGCCCCAAAACTCTATCAAATAGACTGAACCAGTTCTTTCTTAAAACACGAAATTGTAGCCCTTTGAATAAGCTTTCTATCGCCGTAAAAATCAAGTCATTTGAAGGTCTGAATGTTGAGATATACCCAAAATACTGAGACTTGATCGTAAGAGCATGGCAGCACAAGTATACTTTAGTAATTTGGATTTATGACTATGAAACGTGAGAACTGGACTTTGATGTCTTATAAGATTTTTAGAACATTCTCTTAGTTTCAAACTAAATCAAGAATCATCTCAATCCGATTTGAGTAGCTCAAGTTATCGCCAAAATACTGAAATGTGTCCTTCCAATGAAACCTCTTTCTCTTGACTTTTTCCTTTTCCATTGCTTCTTCACTCCATGTTTTTAGTCCATTTTCTCTCCAATTGAGCTTTTCACATATTAGAACAATATAAGAGCAAAATTAAGTAGTTTTCACTCAAGATAAACTAGCAACTTATTCCTATTAATGCACTACAATTTACACCCGATCAATTGCCATGATCATCATTTGTTTTCTTTTTATTATTAATAGATATTTGAAAATCAAGTATCACTCTTCAGTCTTGATTGGAAGTTTTTAAGGAATTTTAGTCATTTTAGAGTCTTTGGATATTATGGTTTCTAATCTTTTATTTGATTTGGACATCAAACAATCATACGTTCAGTTGGTTAAATCAATATGGCTATTGAGATGAGAAGCTTATTTTATGCTGGAAAAAACTGACATGGAAATAATTATTGTCTGGTAGTGTTAATCTGTTTACAAACATAATTCTATTGATTCTCTTAATAGGTTGAGTGCTTGTAACAATTGATCATTTTTAGACTAGTACACTTGTAATCTGTTTTATTCTTAGCGTACATGTGAATTATGGTATGAATCACTAACATTTTATAGGTATGATAGAAATGATAGAATGCAACTCAATTGGCACTATATTTAGTGTAGCTGATGACTTCTTGTGGAGCTAGATTTTAGTATGATTTGCAAGAACTGGTGTACAAAGACATTCCTTTCCATTGATTATGTCTATCCCTAACATGGCATTTTTACTCTTCTTTTTAAGGCTCAAATGCATTAGCTGCGTACATCATGGAAGACAACAGAGGAGAAATTTTGTTTCAAATGGCATTATGGGACTGTGACGAGTTTTATTTCAAACAATAGGGACATTTAGATTTCAATTTTGTATGGAGAATCCATATTCATGTGTTTATTTGGATATCCAATAGATAGCCTTACATATGTTAATTTCTAAATTTCTTAACGTTTTTCTTCATTCCTTTTGTTGGCATTGGTTGAACAATGTTATTATCTCTCTTATTACCTATGAGAAGATGAGAAATGTTCTGGAAAATTTTTGCTGTGCTCTAGTTCATTATAGTTGATAATGATTGTTGCTACTATAAGTCTTCAATATTGGAAGGCAAGGATAGGGGACGATAAAAGTTGCAGGAAAGAGAGAAAAGATGAATTTGATTGGCTCCATCTTTTTCTATCACAAAAGGTTAGTTTTGGTATTGAAAAAGTTCCTATGAAATTCTGATAAATAGTGTGGGTTTTATAGACATTTTGGTGTAAAGAGTGTAGATTTTAAATTGAGTTAAGTCTAAATTGGTTTCCAATTTCGTTCTACAAAATTGTTCTTTTATGTTTTTAACAATTCCCATACAAATCTTTCTGAGACAAATTGGGGCAAATGGAATCCAAAAAATTCCTTCTAAAAATGAAGTATGCAATGAATACAAACTATGCAAGATGAAGTAGATGCCATTCCCTATGAATTTATTCAGATTGTAATATAATGCACTTTGGACCAAATAGCTTGAGGTATGCCTGGCCTGATGTAGATTGCCACAATGTTGTTTTACACACAAAAATAAGAAAATGAAGATGATTCAACGTGCCTAGATAATGTTTTTTAAGAGAAAGGATATTCACAAGAATAACTTAAAAATATATAAAATCAAAAGAAGGCCATGACAATTGTACAATGAAATAAACAACTGTAGATGTTGTTTGGGAAGCAACTGTGAAATCAAAAGAAAGTACCTCTGCATGCAAATCATCGCAAAGAAAAAAACTTGAGTGTAGCAACAAAATGATGATTATTTTCACCATTGATGCATCAAATATTTACCATCTACATGGCTATCTAAATTAACCTCCATCGTCTTCTTCATCAATGAACCAGCCTTTTCTCGAGCTCTACCAGAACCCCTCACGGAAACATCAGCCAGAACTGTCAAGAAATCAGGCAATCTTAAAGCATCCCTTATGCATCCCTCACTTTCATCAAACAGTCTAATAAGAATATCAGCTGCACCTTCCTTACTCAACATGCATCTTCCTTTCAAAACTTCCAGCATTGATCCAACAATCTCATCAGTCTTTCTCAAAGCACTCAATCCCTCTTCAAATCTCGCGAGCAGGCACAAAATCGCCAGGGAAGTGCCAGCGAGATCCTCACCATCTCTATTCTCTGCGAATTTGAGTAGCATTGGAACAGCACCTGACCGTACTGCCACTGTGCAGTTGCCGTGGAACTGCACAAGTTCAGCAAGAGAACTAAGAAGGTGATGAGAAGCCGGACCATGTGATCGTGAAGAAATTGCGCTTATTAGAACCTGAATGGTGCCGGCAACTCCAAACTTTGCCTTGTTTTTGTCCAACATTGCTAGGCTACATAAAAATGAGGCTGCTAATTTGCTGGATTCTGCAGAAGCAGGGGCCAGGATGGCAGAGTTGAGGTAGATTATGTTTTCCATCTCTGCCAAAGATTGCTTCAGATTAGGGTTCAGGGAGAGATTGAACAGGATGGTCAGAGCCAGAGTTTCAACCGCTGGGGAGGCAGATTTGGATAGGGAAAGAAGAATAGAGACGGCACCATCTGTTTGTGCCAATAAATTCCTGTTTTGAGGATTGACTTTTGTGATGCTTGCCAAAGTTTGCAGAGCTTTTAGCTGATTCTCTCTTGAATCAGATCGGATTTCATCGAGACATTCGACAATGGCTTCGCGGATACGAAGCGAAGACATATTTCTTGATGATTCTTGATCAATTAATTCACCAGCACTGATGGAAATATTTGTGATTACGATACGCATGTGCAAACTCCAGGCTTCTCCAGAGGAAGAGCTAATGGTAATTTTCTCGTCATATTTAAAGACAGTAGTGATATTTCCAATGTTGTGGTACATAACATGGCCGCTAAATTTCCTTGCTATTTCAGCCCTGGACATCGTCCAGCTCCACTACGCATGCCAATTTGTGTTCTATCTTTTTGGCAGTTGGGATATTTCTTTCCATAATCACACAGGTTGAAGATGAAATGACCTGCGCACGACATATTTCTTGATGATTCTTGATCAATTAATTCACCAGCACTGATGGAAATATTTGTGATTACGATACGCATGTGCAAACTCCAGGCTTCTCCAGAGGAAGAGCTAATGGTAATTTTCTCGTCATATTTAAAGACAGTAGTGATATTTCCAATGTTGTGGTACATAACATGGCCGCTAAATTTCCTTGCTATTTCAGCCCTGGACATCGTCCAGCTCCACTACGCATGCCAATTTGTGTTCTATCTTTTTGGCAGTTGGGATATTTCTTTCCATAATCACACAGGTTGAAGATGAAATGACCTGCGCACGACATATTTCTTGATGATTCTTGATCAATTAATTCACCAGCACTGATGGAAATATTTGTGATTACGATACGCATGTGCAAACTCCAGGCTTCTCCAGAGGAAGAGCTAATGGTAATTTTCTCGTCATATTTAAAGACAGTAGTGATATTTCCAATGTTGTGGTACATAACATGGCCGCTAAATTTCCTTGCTATTTCAGCCCTGGACATCGTCCAGCTCCACTACGCATGCCAATTTGTGTTCTATCTTTTTGGCAGTTGGGATATTTCTTTCCATAATCACACAGGTTGAAGATGAAATGACCTGCGCACATTTTTGTGTGTGTAGTTTTTTGCCATCCGTTTGTGTTCTGCAGATATTAAATCCAAAATCAGCTGAGGCCCAACAGCATTGTCAATTAACAAGTAGGAATCAACAAGTTTCATTCACGGATTTGACTTTTATCCATTTAAAGATGAACATATATATATATATGTTACGTAGTGAATATCTCGAAAAACATGAGGAGTTTGTTTGGATAAGAATTTATTTGGATGATTTATTTGATCCAGTTACTGTAGCACTTTTTGTGATGTGATGTATGTGAGATAAAAAGGTGGTTGGGAATTGTGTGTATGATGCAAGCAAAACAAAATCTGAAATTTTTATTCCAAATTCTTGTTGTCCAAACAAACTCGGGATCTTTTAACCGATGCTGCAGACCTACACTAAGACAGGCAAACACTTTGAGCAGACCGTCTTATGTAGACACACTTGAGCTCTACGCTAAAACATACATACTGTTTTCTACTTGCAGGGCAAATGACGATCTTCCAATCAAGACAAGGGACTACGTGATATTGTTAAGGTGCTGTAAAATCTAAACCATTCAGGTACACAGATTAATCAAGGGAATGAGACCTACGCAGCTGATTTTCGTAATCCAATGTAAATCCCAGGATTCTACACCAAAATGATTATATTCTGAGTCTATATCTGCCATGCAGATAACTAGACAAACTTGGCTGATAGATACATATCAGTCCAAAGAACCTCGAGGCTGGTACACATTAGTAGTTTAAGATAATTCAACAATAAAGTAAAATGTCTAACCTCGAAAGACAAGCCAAAATAAAATGATAGATTCAACTCATCTAAGGACAATATAAGCGTTACGACTTAGGTAGTAAATTATATTGCAGTCTAATTCTCTGCTTCTACCAGGCTGGCAAAAAGATCGTAAACATCGCCAATCCACCAGAAATTTGTGATCCTGGAATAGGAACAAGTATCCTAGGGATTACCAAATAAAGAACGTCTGTAACCCAAATGACTACAATATAACACGCAAAATAACGCATTATTATTCATGCATATACCTAAAAAAGCACACCACCTAGCAGTTCTCTATGATTCCCAAACACCAACTCAACTGTAGTGATGTGGATCTCATAAAACTCCACTGTAAGAGAGAACTCCACCAAGCAGTCTTAAGAGCCAAGATATGATGTTAATCCCGACCTGATTCGGGAGAGCCATCACCATATGAAACCAGGCCTGGCCTCCCTGGGGGACTCCCAGAGGAGGACCTTGACTTCTCTTTGCTAACCCGCTTTGGAGATTGTGAGGCCAGAGATGATTCCGATTCTGATACGCTCCTACTCCTAGAAGGTGAACGCCGCCTCTCCACACGTGGTGATCCACGGTATCTATCCACAGGTGATCGGCTGCGAACAGGGCTGCGGCTGTAGCGACGGCGATAACGAATTGGACTATGAGATACACTGCGACTGCGGCTCCTACTTCTCCTTCCTCTGTATCTGCAACATAAGAATTAGGTTAATCACCATGCTGTGTCATGATGCTTCCCAAAGCAAAGCTTGTCATAAATAGGCACTGAAACTTTTACTGATTCACAAATTAATTTTCGGACATACAGAATCAAGAGATATGCAAACAAATACTACACAATTTGATACAGGTAAGCCATCTCCCACTGATATAGGGACACCAAATTAGAAACAGTACAAAGGATAAGTAATCAGCTAGGCCATTCCAATTTAAATCCCAAGCATAACACAGATTGTACTCACACCATTGCTTAACAATGACAAATGAGCAGTTTTTTTGTTTTGTTCCTTAGTTAATATCCTGCAAGGTATGGGTCCTCATTTTCCCAACTATATAGCTGCAACCAGCAACCTATTCATCCTACCATTTATGTTTAATATATACTTCTCTCCAGTAAAAAGTTTTCAACGCACATCTGGACTTGAAAGAAGCTTCATAGAGATTAAAAACCGAACTCAATGTGTATCATCCCATTCCCCATACAGATTCTATTTTCCAAACACATTCACCACCTCCCTCTCCAAACTCCCCCTCCCATCCCCCACCCCAAAAAAAAATATTGATTTCATCATAGTAAATTAGAAATTTATTTGCTCAGATGGTCTTGAAAGTAGAATAATGTGCATCTCCAACAGAGGTGTGGCATAGCAACAAAATAACTTGGAACTTTGTAATGCTCCAAGAACACCAAAGAAAAACTCAGAAAAAGTATTTAAGTTACAGACCTTGGAGGAGTTCTTCCTCTTGGCGGACTCCTGTAGCGCCTAGGGGATCTTCTATAGCTCGGATATCTATCAATAGAAAAAACAGGAGGTAGGAGTGTATTAACACCAAGCATAAAGCTCATATGCTTTTATAGTAAGATGTTCAACCTAAACATTTTACCTGTCACGGTCACTTCGCCCACCATATCTGTAGGACCGTACAGGTGACCTATCTGGAGAACGGCTCCTGTATCTGCGTACATAAGAGTATCGCTCACTGAAGCCCCTCCCCCTCCTAACACGCTTGGGGGATTCCCCTCCAGAGGGACTTGATGAGCTTCGGCGACGATCAGAAACAGGTGACCTTACCCTACGGATTCCACTTCTAGGACTTCTTGAATAGCTGCGGCGATTGTTTCTGCTGGGTGCCCTACCTGAACTCCGGCTTGGACTTCGCTTAGAAGGGGCCCTCCCAGAGCTCCTGCTGACACTCCTGCGAGTTAAACGGACAGGACTTCTGCTCACACTCTTTCGACGCTGAGAAGGGCTTCTACTTAAACTCCTCCGAGAAGATCTGACTGGACTTCTACTTGCTGATTTGTATGAAGACCTCCTAGATGATGTTCTAGGTGGACTCCGAGTAGGCCTCCTAGGTGGAAATGCTGAGGGACTGCTGCTTCTCCGTGTCTGGGCTCTCACTGGAGGACTCACACTGCGACTTACTCCTCTTTTGCTCCTCACTGGACTTCTACTCACACTTCTAGCAGGGCTCCTGCTGCTAGCACTTCTAACAGGGGTAATACTCCTGCTCCTTCGTAATTGCCGCTGACCGCTGATGCTAGCACTTCGACTCCTGCTCATACTGCGTTTGGGGCTAACACTCCGACCTCCACTTGAACTCCTCTTAGGACTAATGCTCATGCTCTTGCTCATTGTTCTTTTAGAACTCATGCTTCGGCTCCTGCTCATTAACTTTCAATAAAACACCAGATCTGCAGAATCCGTAACGTAAATAACAACGCAGGTGTGAAAGAAATGGAATGTGAACCTAGATTTGTCAGGGTGGTCGTCCACTAAATCAGGTTGTTTATCTGCATTTTTCTGAGATCTAGTTTCAACTCCAATCCCATTGCTTTGAGGCTCTCCATTCTCTTTAGGAAATTCACCCTCTTCCCCTTCAAACATGTCAGTTGACCCCCCTCTATTTTCACGAACTAAAGCAGCTTCACCCTCCTCAACTGGAGGAGATTGATTTCTTTCTGCAACATAAAAAAGAATTAGCAGTGTTAGGAACTTCTGAAATGACAAGCTAGTTTGGTTTGAACAAGCAAAAACAGTCATGTGCTTTACAGATCACACTCCTCTACATGCTAACATGTATAAAGCATTTTCACCAAATAAAACAAGATTTCAAAAAAAATATATAAAACATTTTCATCGGAAATAGGTTGTTCAGAACAGGCTTTGCCAAAGAGTGACGCTCATGAGATTAAAGAAGAGTGCAGATTGATTTTTGTTGCATAGAAGAACAGCAAAGATAGTAACTAGGCATGTATAGCGACCAAAAACTAGGATAGAACAGAGAAGCATGCCTTGGATATACAGACAGATACCATGAATATGCATATGTTCAAAACCTCAAGCTGAGAATCCCAGCAGAGTTAACCATTTCATATAGACACGATGAAACAGGGTTGTAATCTTACCGAAGTTTTTAGGCTTCCTGGCCAACACTTGAGCCTCACCATCATTATCTTTAGAACCACTTTCGCTTCCAGTCTCACTCCCCGAAAGACTATCTGATGCCCTACGAACAAATGAAGGAAGCAGAAACTTTAGCACGATAACAAAATGCTGAATGACGGTGGAAGAAACAAGATCCGTATCATTACAAATGCTACCAACAATCTTAACACCAAAGCCCTAACTCAGCACAGTAAAGGGTAACTATGGAGGTATGCCTTAAGAAAGGTTAGACACAAAAGAAAGCAACAGAGTTGCAAAACCTTCTTGATTTGCGCTTTGATTTCTTATCACGTCTCTTGCGCCTTTTTTCCCTCCGCCTATCCTTCTTTCCACGCCTATGTTTGTCTCTCTTGGATCTCTTCCTCTTGCGCCGCCTGTCATCACTTGAGGAGCTATCATATGTGGATGATGTTCTATCAGAATCTGAATCACTATCGGATTCACTAGATTCAGTGTCATCATCTGAGCTAGTATCTGATTCCGAACTATAATGTTTCCTCCTCCTTTTTCTTCTCTCCTTGGATGATTTTTTGTGCTTCGCCTTGCGCCGAAGTTCATGACTGTTGGCCTCAGGAGAAACATCCTTTCCCTGTTTCAGTTTATGCAGCTTCCTCTTGTCTGGACATGCAGACCAGGGGAGAATTAACAGAAAGGAAACCATAGCACAAGCCCTTAAAAACTTTAAGCAAGAGTTACAAGATATAAACCCAAAAATTTCAGAGTTCAGTGACTGTTTAAAAAAAAATTCTTTTGAGATAATCTGGTATAGCATATAAATAGATTTTTTTAGGTAAATAAAATGGATTTGTTATGCTTAAAAAGATCAGGACAATTTTGAAAAGAAACAAAATTTATGTTTTTTCTATCTGAAATCTCACCCCAGTGTAGTTCACCACAATTGACTATCTTCACAGTTACAGAAGGTCTGCCATCTTCATCTCCAGTATTTTCAATCTTCTTCAGAACTTCATTCCCATGCACAAGTTTCCCAAACACAATGCATTTCCTGTTTTGAAGATGCCAAAAAACACTTGAGCTAAGGAAGATGCAACTTTTAAGCACAATGGAAGCATAAATGTTCAACTCTAGAACCTC